ATTACTAGATTTTTTCAAGATGCAACTATCGATTTATCGCCCGATAATCGATCGATTTAAGTATTACTAGATGCACCTGCAGACGCATCTAGTTAAAAGTCCCTTTTCCAACTAGTAATCTAGATGGAAACTAGTCGTAGATCGCCCGATTACAGACGAAATGTATCTAGATTTATCGCATAGGTGATATTTGCTTGGGATATCAGCTACGGTACAGTTTTCCTGCTGCATGCCCAAGTAGATTCACCACATTTAGAAAGACTTTAGACTTCAACAACATGTTTTACAGGCAAAGTATCTTCCAACTATAAAAACGTACGTCGATGTGCTCTGCGATGTGTAAAAAAAAGTAGACTGATGGGCTTTCTAACGAGTAACGATACCCATTAAAAGTCTCTCTTCCTTCTTTTTAGCATCAACTAGCCAAACCACGACGACAGCTACCGTCCTGCTATCTTATGCCTATTATTCCTTCGATAATAATGTTAATGATAGTTATAACAATTTTAACGGAGTCGTGCAGAATGGACCTGTTAGCTACGTAACAGGATATGTACCTACTGGACAAGCAATTGTATTAAATCCATCGTCACAGAGCCAAGCACAGTCGATATTAATCACTAATTTTCTCAATTTTGCCTACGCCAGTTTCACAGTTGAAGTGTGGGTATATCCGCTAGCACTTAATAGTGGCGTAGCAGACAATGCAATCATCGGTCAATGTCAGTGCAATACATGCACAAGTCAGTGCCTGTATCTTGTGTTAAGAAATAAACAAATGCGATTGGGCTTCTACTCGAATGATATACAAGGTGGAACATCGTTAACGACAGGTAACTGGTACCACTTGGCCTATGTTTACAATTATGCAACTCAGCAAGAAGTTGTCTACATCAACGGTTATCAAGATACAATTGGGAGTGGTCATAGCCCATACTTAGGCATGAACGGAACTCTACAAATCGGCACATCACAGATTCTATTACCAAGCAATTTCTTTCAAGGTTAGTATTACTATTATTAACAATTTCCTATTTAGGTTAATTAACTTATCTGGGTAACAACTCATGCAACACATATTTTAAGGTTACATGGATCAACTCAGTATTCTAAATCGAGCTAAAAATGCGTCGGAGATTCTTCTTGATGCAACATTAGCATGCCACTTCTCGTTCGATTCTGGATCTCTCTTGGATTCGGGACCAACTCCAGTTACTGGCTCAGCCACGGGACAAAACACTAGTATTGGACGAGTAAATTCCTCTCTTTCATTTACGTCATCAACATCCTACTTAGTAGCTGTTCAAATATTTAGTATTCACCTATCTTTGAGATTTGCCCCTTCTTTTCATGAACACTCATTATTCTCGTCATCAAAATACAATTTTCATATTGTTCACCTTCGAAAATTCAATACTGTCATGGCTTCAACTGCTATTTTGATTTTCGTTTCAGTGACTAATTTGAAACTAAAGTCGCATAAAATTCATTGAAGAGAAGAAATAGAGTAGTAGAATTCTTTAAACGTCGTGCCTGATTGCACAATTTATTACAGCAGCAAGGACTGGTAAATTGTCTACTGATGGATGAAAGCCTTATTTTCCGGTCGGCTTTCCAAACGCTTTTCGCTTTATTTCATGTATTTTCAGCAAATCTTTGTAAAAATTATTATATTTCTCCGTCTTCTTCGCATGTTTTTCTTTTTTTGAATCGGTTGAATAATATCAAAGTGAGTGTATTCCTCCATGAGTTAGTCGAGGAAAAATGAAAATTCTTTCAACTTTTCCAATGATAAAAGTTTTAATGGGCTGATGGGTAACCGCACACCGGTAGATCTGCTTGCTGCGACATAAAGGAGATAAAGATAGCCGAACTCCATTACAACCAGCTGCAGTCAAAGTAAAGACAGCAGTCGTGATCGATGACAGTAGCTACAGAAAGCTTGACTGGTTTCCATGAAATTCAATCAGATTTAATAAACAGTTCAGAAAAAATGTAGAGGACGCATGATTTCTATAATTTTCAGAGAACATATTCTCTAAAAATAGCATGGTTTACTGTCTTCCATTTTGTGACACCTTCTATGATGTCACTTGTCATTGTTGCCAGACCACTTCTCTGCAGCTAAATGATAACCTAATATGTGAACAAATCTTTTCAAGCATACGGTTTCCGGGCGTTAGGTACAATTAACCAAGCTTATTCGTATTCTGTATGGGTAAAGCCGACCTCCTACGGTGGCACAATTCTACACGTTTCGCAACAATCAAACGGCATGGGCTGGTGTGTTGGAATGATCGGCATGTCTAGTTCAGGACAGGTGACAGCTGCAACATGGAATAATGGACTTGTAGGTTTGACAGGACCTACTCTGCTTCTCAACTATTGGACCCATATTGTAACCACATACAGTCAATCGAACGGTCTTCGACTCTACGTGAACGGACTGCTGATTTCTACAACTGGTTCCACTTCATTCGCCGCCAGTAGTGCACCCATGTATGTCACTCTTGGTTCATATGTCTCCGGTAGTAGTTGTGCTTCGTCAACATCTAGCAACGGTCAGTATTTTGGAGCTGTTGACGAGTTATATATTTATAGCAGAGAAATATCAGCTGCCGAGGTGTTGGTGCTTGCAAATCCATAAGGGAAAGTTCGATCTTAATGTGAAACGGGAAATGTTTTTACTGGAAATCCTACAGTTTCTGGTTATACACAACTCGTTAATTTCAAAATTCATTGTTCGTAACTGTTGTATTTAATCTTATTACCTACCGTCGTAAATTTTAAGGGGCATAAAAGAAGCACAATTACTACCCACTTCGAAAAAGAATGCCGCGGGATGTTTTTTGAATGACTTTCAACAGGAACGAAATTGAGACACTCGACTCACCATTCAACAGTCAAGACCGCGACACTTAGTTCTTTGAAAACTTTTTTCAAAATCCTTTACGAAGGTTGGTTTTCCAAGAGAGTTCTTCCATTTTGATATAGAGTGTAATCCACTGATGTTGAATACTTTTTGATAGCAATGAGACAGAGGCTTGTGGTTTTCATCATTGTATAGAAGACATCAGTGCAGGTATCTTTGGACAAACAAAGTTGCAGAGACAAGAACCAGATAAAAATTCATAACTCGGTCAAAATCGATCCAAACTATTCCAGAATGTCGATATATACTCCGTTTTTTGTGGGTCGCATGTATCATCGATACTTTAAAAAGTTTTAAAAAATAACAGAAAGTTAGCTTTTGAAAAGGTATTTTAAAAGCTTTTGGAGATAAGGAAATGTTTTTTTCTAATAATAACTACAAAACCAAGTTTAGCAGGCAAAATGGTGTATATGCTGGCATTTCGGGGTAGTATGGATTAATTTTGACTGAATTAGGAATTGTTTAACTTTTTTAAGGTTTTCACTAAGTTTCCGGATTTTCTTTTAAAAATAAACATTGCCGCGAGAAAAATATCCCGATTAGAATATAAATTTTCTCCGATATCCCGTTTGGAATATACTCTATATCCCGATCGGGATAGACGTGAGACCCGATCGTGAGTACTGAACTGAACTGAACTGAATTTTTATTTTTCCAAGCATGGTTGTTGCAAAGAAAGACTAACTTATGCTAATGCAACACCGAAAATAATGATAAAGAAATACTAAAAAGAGCAAGTTACATTTGAAATATAAACTTATACGACGGACTCATATATGGTACCGAAGAGGGATGGTACAGATTCTGTGACTGGTTTGATTCACAACGGTGCATGGTAGCACAGTCCAGTCGTCAGTGGTAGGAGGAAAAAATGACCCCAAAGCAGACTTTAAGGAATAGTAAAGTTTTTGAATTTGTTTGCCATGCGTTATTCTAGACGACCGTCGATGTGTTGGCGGAGTAATTAGGTTTCTAGCAGACAAAGCACTTCTCCCATTGTATAGTTTATGAAAATAAGCAAGACGAAAATATAATATTTTCTTCGAGCGGAGAGCTGTGCTAAATTTAGCCGAGTGAGAAGTTGTGTGGAACGACTGTCATGATCTCTAAGGATTATTCTACAGGCCAACTTTTGTACGTTATCTAACACAGAGAGATGAGAAATGTAAGACGTATCATATAGAATGCAGCAGTACTCCAAAGTTGGACGTATGTAAGTTTTATAAAGATGAAGACGAAGAGAATTAGGAGAATCGCAGAACACACGGGACATAGAACCGAGTATTTTTCTACAATTTGAGGCTACACTTGCGATATGACATTTCCACGATAGATCATGCGTCAGTCTAACGCCAAGAAGTTTAAGAAAAGAAGCACGCTGAATTATATGATCATTCATCTTTAAAGACATTGTTGAACATACGTTAGATACAGTAGAAAACAACATTCATTCACATTTTGAAACGCTTAAAGTGACAAAATTCGTTTCACACCAAGCCAAAACCTCGTCTATGCACGCTTGTGCCTTGTTTGGATCGGCTAGACAAAGATCATCTGCAAAGAGCAAGGATAGAGAACAGAAAACTAGACTTTGAGATGAGTCATTGATAAAGATTAAAAGTAGGATGGGGCCAAGAATACTCCCTTGAGGCACTCCGGAAACAACCGGGACTGAAGTAGAATGAACAGATCCCACTGTTACTATCTGTGTACGCTCAGGCAGATATGACTTGAACCAGTCAAGTAGAGGACCAGAAATACCGGCCAAAGATATCAGTGCAAAGTTATTAGACATACAGTGACTGACCTTCTTTTTTGAAATGGATAGTAGATAAAAGGCCCTTTTCCAACTACTAATCTGGATGACAACTAGTTGCGCATCGCCAGATTACAGATAAAATGTATCTAGATTTTTGCCTGGGTAATTCCACATAACAACAAATAACCCAAGTGCAGCAACGTCGCAAGTTTTGATTCGTTTGATTCCATATTTTATTACCATGTTTTTTAATGTATTCATCTAAACCTGGACTCAGAATAAGATCTTCTACAGATGAACGATCGGTAGCATTTTCGATGTTCATTACATCTGTTTACCTTAAAAAGAAGAAACAGACTATAAACAGATTTCTTGTTGAAGTTATACTACTCCAGTGTTGATCGGTAAATTAGAAATATAATATCTCTCCGACTCATTTTTCCACTGAAAACCAACTTTGTTTTCCTAACAAAAATCACAATAGAAAAAACGAACAGATTCTACACAACGATTTAACGTCGAAAGTTCCATTATACACACAGTGGGCATTCAAGCGGACATTTGGTCGAAAAGTCGAAAATGAGCTTTTTCAAATTTGAACCGTCAGACATGTAGCTCTTGAAAAGGGCTATCGAATGGTGTATAATGATCGACTGATAATGGACTCCTTTAATTAGTAGAGCAATTAACAAGAAACGCCAAAAAACACCATCCTATATGACACATGCGCAAAGATTATTGTTTCTCTGTACACAGACGCAATAGAATCCAATGGAA